AAAAACACTTTTGCAGACCCCAACGCCTCATTTAGTAGGTAAGTTAGAATTAAAACTTACTATTTACTTGCTTTAAGTATTTTTTTAAAATTTTTTATGTAGTATTTAAGTATTTTCTAGATATGAAATTATATTTTTAAGTATATATTTTTTTTTAAATTGTGAATTAGTTCTTTATGTTTCTTATTGGTTTATATGGTTTATCTAGTTTTTTTTTTAGTTTCTTTTAATTGATATGCATATTCGTGTCGGGGAGGTTTCTGTAGACAAGGGATTCTAAAATACATTAGTTTCTAGATTATTTTTTATAAAAAATTAATTTTTTTTTAAATTTAATTTTTAAAAAAAAGTTTAATTTAATACTTGACTTTACTTGCTTGTTTCTCAAAAGACTTCATTAGTAGTTTTCTTTTAAAACTTTAATTCTTAAATGCTAATTTCTAAGAGTACCACTTTATTGGTATTTCTTTTTGGACATTATTCACTTTTTACTTTTGGTTTTTACTTTTACCCTTGCCTGCATGAATGATGAAACACGAATTGAATGATTGGAGAGTTAGGTTTGGAGGCAACTTCCCCTTGATAAGTCTGTCTCCTGCCTGCTCAACAGTCATTCACTTATGCATTTTTAAAAAAATTGTTTGGATTAATTTTAATTTGTTAAATTAGTGAATTTATTTTCATGGATTGGTTTTACACTTGATTTGCTTATGCTTCTGAATTTAATTGATATTGTAGATTAGTTCGAGAATTAAATCTTTTATATGTTTACACATATATATTTTTTTAATTTTTTTGGCTTTAAATTTGCTTTTTTTACTTTTATACATGTTTGTTAAAATTTAAATTTAATTTGTTTAAATTTAAATTTCATTCCTTGCAGCAATGGCACAAAGAATTATTTAATTAAATTTATATTTAAATTTAATTAATTTATTTAAATTTAATTTATTTAATTAAATTCAATTTTTTCTTATGAAACAATTTTCCACTTGAAGATATATACAGTCAAAAGTCGTTAATTTGGACACCCATAATCCGGACCTCAAAGCTACAAACTTTCTGCGCATGCGTCGTGCAGAAAGTACGGCCCTTTATGGCAGCGAATATGCGTGTGCGTATTTAATGTATAACGGACAGTATAAGCTAAGCTGAAATTATCTAATTCAGTTAATGTTGCAGATTGCTTTGTTCCTTAATCTTCGAATTGGATCCGGCTTATTATTTTTTGCAGACTGTTAGAGCAATTTTATAAAAGTAAGCTTGAACTTTCAATTATGTCAAATAGAATTTCCGATATATATTTACTAATATGTAAAGGATTTACAAAGCAAAAGTATGTTTCGAAGTCCATTAAACAAAAAGTGGAATTGCTGCAAAAAATGGACAAAGGCATATCCTTCGTTTATCTAACCATTCCGAAATCTATTTATCAATCTCACGCTGCTCTGCGGCTGGGGGGGGGGGGACGCCACGGCACGCAATTAATTGGAAGTTGATCTGTTAGCACTATCCTTATCTTCAGGGCAGATGTTTTTATTTTATATGGCTTATAATTCCTTACTAAATGTAGTATTTGATCTCGATGTACTCCATCTTTGATATGATTTAAATCAAATTCCTCATCATTATAATTCGCTTTCAATAGTGAAGAAAGTGACACAGAGGATATTGAAAACGAAAAAATTTTGATTGACAAATTAGTCGGTATTCTCGACACAGCAATTATAGGACTTCAACAGCGGAACTTTGTAAGTAAACAAATAAATATTAAGCTTTTTTTTTTTTGTAAATTTTGATACCCTTTAGATCATAATTGTTCTTTATTTCATAAATTACGGTTTCATATTTCTAATTTTATAATTTCTGCATGCCATCTTACCAGACTTAAACTGATGATCTATAATCCGGAAAAATCGATAATCCGGAATCGCCGAAGTCCCGACGAGTCCGTATTAACGACTTTTGACTGTATACCTATTTTGTGACAAACCAAACTCAACATCCTCGTAATTTTGTTCCTAAATCTTTTAGACAAATAGTTTTTGAAATTTGCATTATCTTTCGCATCCTGGAAATTCAGCTACCACTAATTTAATTTCCAAAAGATTCGTTTGGCCTGGTACGAGAAAAATCAAAGTTCAAAGAAGTGCCAAATGCCAGCAAGCTAAGGTCTTTAAACATACTAAAGCTCCGACTAGCACATTTGTTCCATCTGACGCCTGTTTTTCTTACATACACTTAGACTTTCTTGGACTTCTACCACTCTTGCAGAGCAATCAATATTACGTGACTATTATTGACAGAGTCACCTGATGGTCTGAGGTTATTCCTACGTCAGATATATCTGCTGAGATGAATGCAAGAATCCTTTTGCACAGTTGAATCTCTAGATTTGGAACGCCCATCACAATTACAACAGATCAAAGATGAATTTTGAATCATTAATTTTCGAGAAATTACAAATATGCTACGCAGCCACAGAATTCATTCAACTTCACCCCTCAAAACAATGGAATGATAGAAAGATTAGACCGACAACTCAAAAGTGCTCTTACAGCTCATGAACACACTAAATGGACAGAAAGCCTACCATTGGTGTTATTAGGATTACGAACGGAATACAGAAGCAATATTAACATTTATTGACTAATTTCTATCATATTGTCATCGAACCACATTAAGTAAAGTAACGGAAAACAAAAACAGTTCAGTTTGCAGAAACAAGAACGGATTACGATGAAATTGCACAAAAGCAGCAGTTGTTAATCGTGTCCAGGACAATGTAGGGAAAGGTGCTCCAAGTGACCACCCACATTCACCTGCAAAATTTCAAGTCAATGAACAGTGTGTTCAACAAAATCATAACTGATCACTTGTGAGGCTTAGCACATGAAGTGTTATGGTGTTCTTCAACATTGCAACACGTTCACGATGCACCAGACTTTTTAAATAGCCCCATAACCAGAAATCACATGAAGTTAGATCGAGCAAAAGTGGTGGCCATGGATTAGGAAAGGATCGATTAATATCACATTCCTCTGTGAAGTGTTGGGGCAATAGCGCCTTTATGAAAACATGGATATGTGGGAGCGCACAATCCTGCAGGAAAATGGTTGATGTTTGGACTCGCCTTTGCTGTCCTTATACAAAATTGTGCATAGCCCTTATACAAAATTTCATTGCATTGCATTTGCCTGTTTGTGCTGTAGGATGCCGTTTATACGGGAAGTTTAATTATAACCACCTGGTACTTCATAAATATTTGACACTCTGTTTTAAATTTACACATATACACTATCATTTGTATCATATATTTTGTGATTTTGTAACATTTATTCAAATATTTTCATTTGCATCGTTTCCTTCGTCACCTGGGGAAATCTTTGTAGTGAACACATTCTAGTTCAGGAGGAGTGCTGTAGTTGCGGCACAATAAACGTTTGCAGCATGCCATGGTACCGACGGCCTGTAAAGGTACATGTGACAGGCCCACCTTTACTAATTTTCTCAAGAATGGTTCAAGGATGAATGTCGCCGTGAATCCATACCAGAGAGTAACCTTTGGAGACTATAGGGTAATTTCAATATGGATCCGTGGATTTTTCTTAGCCCAAATGTGGCAATTCTGTGTGTTGACTGTCCCATTGGGGTAGAAATGAGCCTCGTCATTCCACAGAATATTCCAAGGCCATGACAGATCAACAGTCATTCTGTTGAGAAAACTGACTGCGAATGAGAGATGTTGTCCCTATCAAGCAGCTCCTGGGTATGGAGGAACTTGTATGGGAAGTAATGAATTATGTTTCTGAGTACCTTCTGGACACTGCTGTAAGAACAGCCTGTCTGTAGAGAAACTGAAACTGCATGTGTACTACTGCCCCGAAACTCTGATGTCTGTGCATCAACAGCTACCTCGACGGCATCAACAAGTAGCAGTGTGACATTTTTAGGGTCTCTTCCAAGTTGAACTCCTAATTTCTCCATCTCTTCCAATCTCTTAAAACACAGTTCGGATTTCTTTAGTAGACATTGGTCCACGCAGTAGTAGGTTCTTTATACGACAAAATTCATGAACTGCAGCAGAAGCCTTCTTCTTGTTTTCATAAATAGCTTCACCTATAACACACGTTCAACTAAAGAGACCATCATCAGTCCAACTGGAAACATTGACTTAAACATGACAACATCTGCAACTGTTTTATACCCTAACCTGTTTTATATATAGCCTCCTCTCTTTCCAAGCATGCAAATCTCAATATTTTTCTCCTACAACTGACAGCTTTTACCGGTTTTGCATTTTATTACTCATAATTCTTGTTCTGAGTTGTTAATATTGTTTCTGTATTCCGTTTTGGTCGTTTAATGCGTTAAATTTCATGTTTCCCGAAAAGGCGCCCTCTGGTTGACATTTTAGAACTACATTTTTTTCTTGAAATTCCGTGAGTGCATCTTGTGCATAGCCTTTATACAAAATTTCATTGCATTGCATTCGCCTGTTTGCGCTGTAGGATGCCGTTTATACGGGAAGTTTAATTATAACCACCTGGTACTTCATAAATATTTGACACTCTGTTTTAAATTTACATATACATTTGTAACATTTATTCAAATATTTTCATTTGCATCGTTTCCTTCGTCACCTGGGGGAATCTTTGTAGCGAACACATTCTAGTTCAGGAGAAGTGGCGCTGCAGTCACTCTTCCCCACTCCCCTTAACTCACTGCTATGTCAGTGGACAAGCCACTGGAGCTCGAAACTGTATGCACTCTTCTGCTAATATTATTTGTGTTGTAAATAAATACTGTTTTATAAAAATGCAGGTGTTCATCTCATAGCTGCATCTAGGATAACAGCATGCACATAGCCACTTCCAGCACCACAGCAAATATGAATTCTGTTTCATTAATTTTCAATATTAAATAACAAGAGCATGATATTAGGGAAGAAAAGTGAATAGAAATTTTCAGCTTTACTTTGCATGCACTGTGTAACTTACTTATCAGATGGATCAACAAGAGCAACTTCACGAGTTACCAACAAAGGTTTCTCTTCTTTAACAAGGGATTTAGGCATTCCATGCACACCACCAATGTGCCTATAACCCTAAAGATAATAATTTCATTTGAACAAAATGCAGAGAATGCAAAAATGTTTCTTACACATCAATATTTAGAAATTTTAAACAACTGAAAAATGAAATTACTAAAACATTTACCCAGAAAAATGTGATGAAATTTTTACATATTTTTATTATAAATGAGATCTTACTAATTATTCAAATTATAACTTGAAAGGAAGAACCAAACAAAATTAATTGTAAAGACATCAATTTTAGTTTGAAACTACAACAAGTTCATTACAAGGTCCAAAAGTCCATCAGATAACATTGATAGATAGCATGTTAGACAATCTTAATGTGCTTCTATGATAGTTTTTTTAAAATTACATTCAGATTCACTATCTCTTTAATTCTGGAATTAAATGTTTTGCAATATAAAAATTTTACATATCTCATTATTTTAAATTTTACTTTGAAAACTGTGGCAATAAATACATCAGTAAATTTTTTTCATATTTTTTCTTTTTCTGCATAGTAATTATGCATCTTTAGTCTTACAGATATAATTTTTGTGCCCAAAATGATATATAGATTCTGTGCTTTATTTTTCATGGGAACTAAACATTAAGTTCATTGATGTGTTAGTCTTTCAAAAACTGACTTATGCAAAATTCTGCATAGTTGCAATATATTTCACAAAAAAAATCAGATATGAATCATGCATACTTACATTATGTTTCATCACACAATACACAGTGCTTACACAGCAGTGCAACCAGCTTAGTAGAAATTACCAAATTTTCAAAATGTTTCAAACTTAGCCATATAACAAGCATGCGCATGCTTGTTATATGTTATATGAGTATATGGAAGTTAAATCTTCAGTTTTAACAAACAGCATCAAAATTTTCATGGGCCTTCTTTTAGTTAATTCAAGATCCAACAGTTTTATAAGACAAACTGCAGTTTTTTTTTTTTTTTATTATTTTTTATTTTTACACCTTAAATTCAATTCTAAGACATGTGCTTGTGGGAAAGGATTGCAATGGGAAAAACTGAAGTAAACTTATTCAAAAATACAACACTGTGGCAAAATGGCTACAAGGAACAATTATTTCAAATCTGTTAAAGCTACTACCACACAGAAGTACCAGATGAGGGGTGGGATACTAGAAGAAAAGGAAAAAAAAACAACCAGAAGGAAGGGGGGAAAGCTTCCTCATAGGTAAGTTTATTTATTGATATTTAAGGATAAACACCTAATTAAAGTTAAAAATAGGTATGTAATAGTAAATATAAAATAAGCAGGCAATATATATATTTGTTTGCAATAGTATGTGATCATTCTTTTTCTTCAGTATAAAATTACCAAATTGCATCGAGCTGGTTGCACTAATATGTAATCAGCATTCAGTATACAACATTAAAATTTTGAAAAAGCGAATTAAACCAAGATATATTTGCTGTAATTCACTTGTAGAATTTGCTAACAGAAATATACTATTTGCATGTAGTTAACTCTGAGTAGGCAGAGTACTGGTCAACGAGAAGCAACATATATATTTTTTTGTTGTTGTTGTAGTTTTTTTCCAAAAAGAAAGAGTGGACACAGAAAAGTTAGAGTGAAATATCATGTTTCAGTATAATTTGCCAGCTCTATATAGTTTTAAATGCTATTAATTTTATAAAACATTATAATTACATGAAGGAATTTCATCATTACATCGAGGCAATTTGAGGTCAGAAAAATATAAAAAACAGTTGCCAAAATCAGCCAATGCAATTTTAGTTACTGATGGCACAAGTTATATACATCACAAGACAATAAATAAAAAGGAACTTGTGTACATTTGGCAAATTAATCACATTCAGAAATACTCTGTATTCCAAAATAACTTAAAATATAATCTTACACTGGAAGTTGATTTTACAGAATAGTAAAAGTATGCATTTTGAAAAAAAAAAAGTCATGGTTTTTCCTTCTCAAAGAGAAAATTCCAGCTTAGGTTCCTGAATTTTATGTTTTAACAGGATAATTATTCAAAATACAGCTTTATCAGCAACAGATAGTGTGGGAGAATTTTAATTGATGTGATTTAGTAAATCCATATAAAGATGCATGACTTAATATTTGTCCAATGGTAACAGATACTTTTAAAGATGCATTACATAATATTTTTTGTAATGAAGTGGATGTTTAATTTCTTTTTTTTTAACCTTTATGGAATTTAAATATTTCAAGCATAAACTTATTGCTTCGATCATCCCTTTTCTATTCCTAAGTGAAAATTTAAAGCCAGTAAAAATTTGCTAGATATCTTCAGTGCTCACAAGTGAGCTACTGCATGTATATAAGTAAACTGTGGCCAACTTTGAAATATGAAAAATTGTGAGGTTCACCCACTGAAAGCCACAAGTTTCCAGGATGTTTTCATGTTGCATGGCAACACAATTTTAAAAGCACTCAAAATTTATTTTAATTCACTTTTTAACATGAATCAGTTTATTCAATTACTTATAATATGATTTTGATGTAAAATACATTAATGTTTAATTACACATTCTAAATTTCACATTCTTGGCTAATTTTATTTTGTAATCATCTTACTTCATGATCTTAAAATTTTATGCCGAGAATATTCTTAGCAGGGAGAAAAGCTTTATCAAAGTACTTTTAAATATGAGAGAAATAAAATTATTTGCATTGCCAAAAATTTAATTAAAAAAATATGCATATTTTAAGTTTCATTAATTCAATGATGAAACTTAAATTGTGCACATTTTATTTGTACAATTTAATATTATTTCTGAAAAATATTTTCCCTGGTAATAGCTAAAAATTAAAAACCCAGGAATAAAATAACAGAATTAGAATTCATGTTGAACTAGCAGTGTTTAGCAATCTTATCTACTTCTTCCCTGGTTGGCACTTTAGCAATAAGATAATGCACAGCAAAGCCTCATGCTTCTTGTCTAACATACAAGGGTGGTTATAATTAACACTTTACGGACCGGTAGCCTATTAATCGGCTTTTTATTGCCAACGCCTACCGACCGATAGCCTATTAATCGGCTCTTCATCACCAACGGCTACCGATCAATCGCCTATTAATCGGCTTGTTTTAGCAATGCCTGCCGACTGATAGCCTATTAATCGGCTTTTTTTCACCAACGCCTATCGACAGATAGCACATTAATCACTTTTTCCTCGGGGCTACCTAAAAATAGCCTATCAATCGGTAGCCATGGCGATAAACAATTGCCATTTGCTATATCATCTGCATTTTATTATTAGTATTGAGGTACATTGCTCACTTGCGTTAAGTGCATTGCTTTGTAAACTCCCACATTTTCACACCGTTTTTAAAAAAAAATTACAGTTCACGATGAGCGAAAAAAATGGTACTGGAGAGTTTTATTCAGACGATTTATCATATTGTCCTGACAGTTATTTAGAACATGAAGAATCTGTGGCTGAGCGGCCGGTCGGACTTGCATATGCTGTTGAACTGCTAGCGGTCGGTAAAGTGTTAAGTTACACTTTGAAATGGTCACAAAAGGAAAACTACTGGACAAAAATATTATCAAACTTGATAATCGTATAAAGAAGATCATAGGAATTTATTTTCCGCACAAAAAAGAACAGTTCAAAAACTCACCACCAGGGCATAATGGCACTGTATGCAATATTGTTAAAGGAAACAAGGGTTAGAATCTAACTTAACCTTTTGTTACACAGGTTTAACATGTTGTATACCCTTAAGACATTTACCTAAAAAAACTACTATTTAAAGGAGATAAAAAAGTCGAATGCACCATCCATGTAATGGAGAAATCTGTCCATGAAAACCACAAATTAGAGATTAGAAAATGTGAAATTGCAAATCACTTGCAAAAGTATGCTCATTCAGGAAATCGTTTGCTTACAAATCGCTCATGTTATCTATCCATTTCCATTGCATTCTTCTAAAGTCAGTTTGGTATGGTATGGCAGCTAGTTTCATAATTGGACCATTTTTCTTTGAAGAGCAGTTTGCAGCTGGACCTATTACATGCACTGTGATTGCAGCTTGCTTAGTCACCCCAGTCACCAGACCTCAACCCCTGAGAGTTTTGGCTATGGGGTTATCTCAAAAGCACAATTTATAGTTATAATCTAAACAATTTGGTGGAATTGAAAGATGCAATACACCGACATGTCCGTAACATGTTTTAGAAACATGTAAACATGTAAACTTTGTAACATGTTTTAGAAACGATTAAACATGTTTTAAATCGATGTCTTCATGTCTTATTTTGTTTAATAATATTGCATATAGCGCCATTTCCCCCTGGAGGTGAGGTTTACTTTTTTATGTGGAAAATAAATTCCCATGACCTCCTTTACATGATTAACTACATTTGATAAAATTTGGTCAGTAGCTTTCCTTTAATAACCATTTCAAAGTGAAACCTTAATTATAATCGTCCTGTATGTCATGACAATGGGGCATTTGGCAACATACTTATCTGCTGTCATATGAACAGCAGACCATAGTATCTCATAAACAACTGAGCTTGGTTTTTTTTTTTTTTTTTTTTTTTTAAATAAGAAATCTAGAAAAACAAGATTTTGAGATGCCAGAAATCACATAATAAAATATTAAACTAGACAACAAAAATTACTAGGAATTAAAAAAAGGGGGGAAACTGTGTACTCATATGTGAATCATGTGCAGTATACACTGGTTACAATTTTATTTTCTATCCCAGGCTGAAGAATTTTCATAAAATGAACATAACACCTGAAAATGTCTTTAGGTTATTATAAAATGAGACTGAATTTCAGAAATATTTAAATGTGATAGTTAAAACTTACTTCCCTAGAGGGGGCACTTACATAATTTGAGAATTTTTGCAATTGTTATTAAATTAAAATATTTTCTCATCTGAGAAAGATAAATGGTTATATTCATCAATAAAAAAGTTCTCAAACGTAAAACAGCAATGAATTGATATATGTTCAACACATACTGTCATATGTGCTTGCAGCACTATGATTTAAATACTGATGGCTTTTGCTATAGCACTGCCCAATTACTGAAATATATTACAGATAATTTGTTCCCATATGTTTCATCAGCAGTTATCAATAAACAATCATCGAGGGGGCTGTTCAACATAAAATGTGTCAAATATCCTTTGTAGTAGCCACCTCTAAAAGATGATTTACTTGCTGCAACAGGTATTTAACATGAACAGTGATGTTCTCTATAATAATCACTTCTACAAAAGTCCAAAATTATCTGGAACTAAGGATTAACACACTAAGAAGGATTTAACAGATAACTGCTAAGAACAAAAAAGTAAAAGAGATGGAAGAAAATAAAAGTTTTAAAATATTTCTTTTTCAATTTACTGCTTTGAAGCCAAACAATATCATGATCTTTTTTATTTATTTGCATTATAATGAATTATTTGCTTCATTATCTTTCTTCAATTAAGAAATCTTGTATTTCCAGATAGTCTGGCTATGAGGCTTCTGGCGAACATCAGATCCACTTGATCTGCCAATGGACAAATGAATGCAGAATCAAGATAATATTAGCCCTAACAATTGCAAAGCTTTAGCGAATACACAGATAGTAGAGTTACTAATTTTAATTTTCTCACAAAATTATAAATCATAATAATTTATAATTATAATTTAAATTATGCTCCTAAAATTATACACCTAAACTAATTAAACACCTAAAAGTTATTATAAATTATACACCTAAAAGTTATTCATGAAACGAGAAAACTAATTTCATTTTATGAAATACTGAGATTCCTAAATTAGCTTTCCTAATTAACACGAAAATAAACTTTATAATACTAGATCATGAAAAGCTAGCAGAATGAACAATTTCAAGGTTTAGAGATTAACATTTTACATTTAATAAATATTGCAATTATATTTTCTAAGTTTAAAAAATCTAAATGCGCCAGTCTCTAGCAACCACTTACATACTTTTTTTCTTTAGTTTTAACAAGCAACATCAACATTCTCGCACACATTTTGTTACATTCTAAGAATTTAATGGTTTTGATAAACAAATTGTACATTTTTTGTCTTAAAACTCAATTTTAAAACGTACATTTGTAAAATTTATCTGAAAGGACAAAATTGTGGTACACTTCTGCAGGAATGCTATATTTTGCCACAAAATCACTAAACGGAACAATTTCACTGAATACATTCTCTAGGAAGTTTTCACCAAAACAAAAGAATTTAAGTAAGTGCCATAGTGCATTTATTGATTGATATTTTATAACCAAAACTTAATTAAAATGAAAAATATACATGCTATACAGATACATAGATAGTAACAGAAATAATTTTTTTCTATAATGAGTCACCATTCTTTTTTTTTTTTTTTTTTTTTTCTTCCCTGTAAAAATTTGCCAGACTGTACCATAGTTGGAGCCTTATTACTTGAGTACAGTACAACTCCAATTATCCAAACTTCTATCCTAATTGCTTTCAGAATCATCTGAAGAAGTGAAGAAAAAGGAGAAAAAGGAAAAAGAAGCTCAAGAAAAGGAAAGCGAAGAGACAGGAGAAGATGAAGATGATGTGTCACTTGAGGAATTAAACATTCTTTGAAAATTTCTGGATGTTCAGAAGTTAGTGCTGAGGATACAGCAGAATGGATGGTGTGTGTGCATCAGACCCTGGGTTTCAAATTCTAAATGATGATGAACTTACTGAAAGTGTCGAGGAAGAAGATGACCTTAAAGTCAAAGCTAAAGCAGACACAGTACCATAAGCTAGTGAAGCATTTACCTCTGCTGAAGTGGATGGAGCGTCAGCCCGAGTGTGACCACATGCAACTTCTCATTTTAAGTAGATGAGTGAATTGGCTGCCCGAAAATAGATGATGACAGTCAAACAGCTTACTTTGACCAAGCTATTCAACAAGCAATGACTCTCAGCACTTGTAAGTACAGTACAGTGTGGTATATAACATGTATGTATAAGTGCTGCCTTTTCATTTTAATTGATTAAATCCTCTTTATCTTTAAAAATATTTTTTTCTCCCATTTTCAACATACAGTAATTAATTAAAGTGTACGTAGACCCTTTCTTTGTATTTTTTATTATTCGAATGGGGTCCGGTAAAAATTGATTCAGATAATTCAAGTTATACTGTACTAAATAATGCGTTACTTAGAATAAGACTTTTAGTATTAAATTAAAGCTTAAGTAAATAATCCATGATTTCATACAAATCCAAGAATGAAGTCCATATCACAACTTACACAATTAAGTCCTTCAACAGTAACCCAGTTTCTTTCCACAACAATGTAATTAACAATTCCTTGCTTTCCTTTGTCTTTTCCAACCAAAATTTCAACCTAGAAAAATTAAAATACTTTATTATATTGAACTATTAATTAGATAAATATTAACTACAATGCAGCATGCGTGTATATTTATTTACCTATTATGCTCCTGGTATTAATGATTTTGTTTTTCTGAGTTTTTTTGCCTCCTTGACAGTTAAGATATCAGAATTAATAATTAATTTATTTCTCATAATTTGAGATTCATATTTAAAATTTCTCAAAAATACTGAGATTAAAAAAAAATTTGAGTTAAATAATATCTTTCAACAAATAATTAGTTCATTAATTTATCTGATGTTCAGTTAATTTTAAAAAAAGATATAATTCTACGTTCAATAATTCAAATAATTCATTCTTAATAATTCATTTATTAAGTCTTAATAAGAACTTTATACAGCTTTCTTCTTGACAAAACTTCTTTACAATTTTCTTCAACAATAAATTTGTTTGAAAAGAGATCTAGGGCATGAAACATTTAATGGAAAAAATATTTAAAGCAACGACAACAGTCGAAATAATAATACAGTTCCAGGGTTGAAAATAATCGGTTAAAAATTAAGATTCATTTTTATACATTGTATTTGATTTGGTTTATTTTGATTAACCCTCTGACTGCTTAATTCGTAAACCGAAATCGCTTCAAAAATTGTGGGTGGTTTTTTTTTTTTTTTTTTTCTTTTTTTTTCAATATTTTAAATCTATATATATTGGAGAATTGAAAAATGCATTTTTCCTTTCTAGAAATTTGTTTTATATATAGATTTTCATCATGAGAAACAAGTTGCCAGAAAAACCAATTTCAGATGTTACCACCCCAAAAAAATTTGTTTAACCCGCGGAAAAGCGCGTGGGGTGTATCATACCACAACCCTACGTAAAAGTGGAATATTCCTCACTTGCGAAACTGAAATTCTGTGCTGTATTCAGTAGCTGAGTTTCTAGTTGTGGTTGACGTTTAGAACCGCTTTTTCTTTGCCTGCATGTTTCAGAAAAAGATTTATCGGTATTTTGTTGGAACCTCGGGTATGACACACCCCATGTGCCTGTCCGCGTGTTTTTCTGACTGAATATTTAGTTCAGAAATTTATTTCTAGAGTGTAACAGTAAATAATTCTACTCGCAAGTGATTTTAAAGTACTTGACATTAAATTCTTAAAAATTTCTAACCGCATTATGATAAAAAGAATGACTCCCTATGAATTGGAGATGCAACGCCTGTGAGATTTACTACAAATATTTGAAAGCGATGAAGACTGCATTTCGGAAAATGAAGATGAAACTAGGGATATTTTCTACACTGTTTTGGTTTCGATAAGATAAAACATTAATTCCTAATGTTCCTAAAAAAAGGGAAAACTGTTCTTATGCTTATATAACGATTATATAACATTATATAACGATCATACTATAGATGATACTATTGGAGAAAATAAAATGTCAGGAATTATATGTTTTTATAATATGACTAAAGGAGTAGTGGATATGGGGGATGAAATGTCAGCCAATTATTCAATTGCCAGAATAACCAGGAGGTGGCCAATGGTAATTTTCTTTCCTGCACTGATAGTTGCTGTAATAAATGCTTGAATTATATTACATTCAACTGCTAATCCACCAACCAGAAACAGAAGTCTGTTTTTGAAGGACTTAGCATTACAATTAATGAAAAAAAGTATTGAACAAAGAATCAGAGATAAATACTTCACCAAGAAACTGACGTACTGCATGCAAACCAAAAGCAGAACTTTCGACGAAGAATTAAAACGAATACACGAAATTCGAAATAACTAAATATGAAAGATGTGATAAATTGCCCTTGCGCCAAGGACAGAAGAACGTGAATGCAATGTTTAAAATGTGAAAACATTCTGTGCCAAGAACACATGAATGTATTTCGTTCAAAGTGTGAAGAAATAAAATAAGCATTGTGTATTAGAGATGCAATGAAACTTAGAGGCATGATGTTTATTTTTTTATTAATCTTAACTCTAAGATTATTTTGGAAATTAAGTTTTGGAAACCCAATTATTATTCACATATTTATAATACACGAGAACAAGAAAAACAGCTTTAAAACTAAATAAAACTATTTTTTCGTACTTTAAATATTGGGGTATGTGATACCCCACGCGCCCACTCTAGTAACTTTTCTTGGTGCGACTTCTGCCAGGTTAAATAAATTTCTGTCGAATTACAGTTAATTTCTATTTATTGCATAATATAAAAAAGTAAAACATATAAAATTTAAGAAAATATAAAGCACTGAAGAAAAATACCTTAGAAATGAAGTTTAGTATGTTAGAGTTTAAAACAGGGTTCAAGGCAAAGTTCAACTTCACAGTCAGTGGCGTAGCAAGGGGGGGCAAGGGGTGTATGATGCCCCGGGTGCCGCTCTCAGAGGGGCGCCAAATGTTCTCCAAACAAGATTTTCATCATATCACTGTTTTTTGGGGGGGAGGGGCACCAAAAAGGTATTTTGTCCTGGGCGCCAGTTATGCTCGCGACTTCAATGTTTACAGTCTTTGCACCAGATTCAATAAATCTAATTAATAATCAATCTAATTATTCATCTAATCAATAAATCTAATTATTAATCTAATCAATAAATATAATTAATAATTCAATAATTTAATTAAATAATCAAGATAATTGCTGAATGTTTTCTAGCAGCAATTTCTGTAAGAAAAAAGTGGCAAAAAATGGAGTTTGAGCGGTAATACCACGTGCCTTCAAACGCCGCAATTTAGTGGACAACTAACGATATCCATTGGCCGAAACATAAACTAAACGTTTAATACCATATATAATTTATTTCAGTGGTTAAACAGGGAAAAAACGGGTTGCACTTCTCAATAAAGGAAGAAAAACACATGCCCACGGAAATCGCACGATGAGCAGATTTTGCTACATTTGAGTTGCCCATGGAAATTGCGGGATGTGCAGCCAGAGGGTTAAAGCAAAACGCTCGAGGGCTATCTGCCTGAAGGGAGGGATGCCTTCATGGAATACAATCTAAAGGAAAATGGCTCATACACACATTACACATGAGAAATACAATGAAAATGGCCATAAAGCTGGAATTTGAATCACAGACAGATCTACCAGTGTTGAGTGATTTTACCGCTCGGCTGCTGGCAGTTTCATTTTTAAAATGTAAAACACATTATCATTCACAAAAAATATAGATATAAATCACACAGGATATATATGTGTTTGTGTCTTTCTTGTTATGTCAGGGATATATTTTTAATCAGTTTAAGAGTAGCCTCTAAATTTGAATAAGATATGTTTACAAGAACATCTTTTAAGCTGGATCTAATCTTAAGTCTTCAGCGGCTTTAAGCTGATATCTTTGATTTAACATCTTATGTTTGGATTTAACCTTAAGTCTTCAATACCTTTAACCTAATATCTTTAATTTACCACTTTTTTTGGTATGTAATTTCCATATTTGGCAAATAGCAATAAACTGTGATCTTATCATAATAAACAAAATCCCTGTACATGAGAACAGTACGAACTACTGAAAACAGAGAAATATTTTAATCGAAATAAACTGAACATAAGAATCAAATTATAAACATTTAGAATATAGGAGAAATGAATCTAACATTATATTAATGTTTATCAACTAAGTTACTCGATTGCATTAGTGACTGGAAGATGAATTTTTCAGACATTATAACAGGGTAATATTAATCAAAAGATGACAACAATGTTAGAGGATCAGAATGTAATCCATCCTAGAGCTATTACAATGGTTAATATAGATTTACAAGAATATAAAAGCCAAACCAAAAGAGATGGTGTGCATAAATGACCACACACAAATCAGACAAAAAGCTAAAATAAAGATGTTGCATCAATAAACCACTTATATCATTCAGGTTTATTTACATGGAAAGAAAATATTATTTCTTATTTCACAGAAAATCTTGAATCGCAGAGAGTCTTCTCAGGAATGGCAGTACATCCACATTTTCCTGTCGACCATGCCTGACAACAAAAACTCTTGCCAAACTGTAGGACTGAAGACTAGTAATGATAAGAATAACATTTCATCACATTCATAAGATCTTTGCTCTAGTTTTATGTAACCATGATCCTTAGTAAGCTAATTTAGTTTTTATACTGATAGATACAAACTAATTGCTATTTTTACACATTTTCCCTTGTGTTTGGGAGGCAAAAAATAATAACATTCTAAAACTGTCTTTTATAGAACAGCAACCTGTGTTTTCAAAAATTGTGAAATTAATCACTTTGGTGAACATATTCGAAGCATTGAAAGATCTGAAGTTTAGCAAAACGATGCAGTAAGATACACCATGCAATCATGTAATTAAATTTTAAGTTTATTTTAAAATGTGAGGTGTCAAAACAATTCTGCAATTTTATATGTTTGGCTTAATAGTTATTTAAATAGCTGAGAATTAAGTAGACTCTTTCAATCTTATATTGTACTGGGGAATAGTAGTTTCGTTGTCTTAGATATGTCACTTGTTTCCATCTAACTTCTGGCCTCTGAATTAAAAAAGTAACCTCAGTTTTTGTCTATCATATCAACTCCTTAAGCTACAGGTCAAACTCTCTTTGTCTTGATAATCATACCAAATATGCATAAAAAGGAAAATAAAAGGAAAACGTACCAAATATACTGCTCACAAAGAATAGTTTTATTCATACAAAAGCTATATATAGTTACTGTAAATTAAATTTTATTCACACAAATAGTAAAGTTTTTTTACCAAGTGGTAAACATACGTATTAAGTGGAAAATTTTTGCTTATGGCTTTTCTGGAGTGTTTAATCTGTGTCTATTGTTACTTGATATTTCAGTAACAGTTAGCCATGAAGATGTACAGCCATTTACCTTCGTACCATTCCTCCATGACCTTCCAATCTTGGTGGAATAGCTCACCCTGCTCATCACTGACTTCACCAAAATTTTTTGGGACGTTATCAAGATGCCTACGTAGAAAATGCTGTTTGATGCTTATGTTCCAACC